TTGTCAAACTCCTAAGCAAACATCTCCACACCCAAAGCTGCAGATCGAAGCATACTGGCCATAGGTATAATTCTGAAATTCAATTTATTAATCTAAGCGCATTTTTTCGTTCTAATGTGTTTGTGTGTGTTATTAATGAAGCGTTAGACAGGTTACAATCCTCACAAACCTGCCATTGTTAGGGCACGTAAATTTGGTTCCTTCGAATCTCAGGATTCTTAGTGTTTCAGGACAAGACAAACCCATATTCGAATTAAAGAGAGTTTCGAATTAGAGAGTGGTTCGAGCTATGGGGTAAGGACCCCCCTGGATCTCTAACGTTTGTTCATTTTGCAGGAATACTGTTTAGGGCTTCGAAGCAGCAAGCTTCGAACTGGGTGACACAGGAACCTTCTACCGTTTTTAAACCCAGATTCGAATCTCAAGATTCTTGGTATTGAAGGACGAAATGATTTCATATTCGAATTAGAGAGGTAATCGAAGGACCTGGGTTCGACACCCAGGTCATACATTTTGTGTTTTTTCTAAGAAGTTTCCTTCCAGATCCAATATCCCAGATCGAAGGATGACACATCCAGATCCAGTGCCCCCAAACATGCAGTCCATCATGCACCTTCGACAACCTTCTTCACTGGATCGAAAGACAACTTAAGCCTCTCCTTCGATTCAGACATGCATTCTATATACTACACCTTTTTGCTTTATTTACCGCTTTGTCCTTTTATTTAGTCTTTTTCCTTATTTTGTTTCTTTTTTAGTTTTAAAATAACATTAAATCAAAAAAGGTCATAAAAAAAACGTTAGTTTAGTTTTTTTTTTAATCAAGTTAATTTTGTAAATAAATTAACTAATTATTTTAACCTTTTCTTTAAATTAAAATTAAATAGACTTAGGTTGTATTTTTTTAAAATAAAACAAAATAAACAAAAAGATTTATTTTCCTTAGGATTTAGACGTCCATGTTAATTTGTTTGCGCGTTTATTTTTTTCGCTTTTTTTTCATCTTATTGTAACTGCTTCCCAGTTTATAATAGTAACTAGGATTTTAATTTTCGCATTTCTATAATGTACCTCTCACAAAGTCATGTAATAACGTAGGATTTACATTCCCGTACTTTACATTTCTGCACTTTAAATTCTTGTATATTATTAACGGTTAGTAACTAGGCTTGTATGGAAAGACTAATAACAAAACGCTAGCAAACTTAAATTCAAAGACAAAAATAACTGAACATAACACACATGCACATATACACCATTAAGGTACACCCACTTTGGTTGCCTTCAAAAAAGCAGTCATGTCCCTCGAGAATAGGGACGCTTTAGCAAAAGACCCGTAAATCAAAAGATCGTAGTCCCTCAATGATCCTACAGTTGCCTTTCGGTAAATGATCTAGTCTCTTATACAAAATTGCTAAAGCGTCTCTATATGTTGCCTTCATGACTGTAAAACGTTCCTTTGATGCCCCTCAAACATTCAACGACAGGGCTACCTACTCACTAATAGTAGGATAGCGTTGTCTAAAGGATAGGAGGAAAAGAACGACCCTTTTTCGAGCAACAAAGTAGATAGTTGTTAGAAGTTTGCTCAAACATTTTGCACTTACACAAAAAACTACTTTTCGAAAACAATTTCAAAACACTTTGTATACTTTCTCCACTATCCCGAGAAACATGATAAAGTTTGTCGTACTAAGGCGTTTTCAAAACATTTTCAAATACAAAACACAAAGGTATTTTTAAAACGAGCAAACCTCTAAGAGCCCATGGAAAACCATGGATGAGAAGGATGCTAACACCTTCCCTTTCCATAATCTACCCCCCTTACTCATAAAATTCTCGAAAAATGTATTTTTCTGTTCTTTTCACCCTTTCCTTTGTTGGATAAAAGAAAAGACGGTGGCGACTCTTACTTACTGCAACATTTGCGAATACAAACGTAATACCAGTATTAAATAGTCGGTTTTGCCACCGTATCACATCAAGCCCTTGTCACTGACAACAGGACACAATTTACCGACAGAAAATTCCAAGATTTCGTCGCTAAGCTCGCCACAAAACAAAATTTTACGTCCGTCGAGCACCCTCAAACAAACGAACAAGTGGAATTCGAAAACAGAGTCATCTTGCAGGGACTTAAACACTGACTAGGCGAAGAAAGAAGGAGTGGATCGAGGAGCTCCACAGTATGCTCTGAGCTTACAGAATGACACCCCGGACTACTACCAAGGAGACACCTTTTCGACTAATATACGGAACCGAGGCGATCATCCCCGTAGAAATCAAGGAGCCAACTAGGAGAACTGAAACTCCTCTCGACAAGAAGCTAAACGATAAAGCCTTGAGGGAGGAGCTCAAACTGGTCATAGATATTCGATCGGGGGCATCCCTTCGACAATCCAAGTTAAAGCAATGGATAAATCTATGACATGACGCCAAAGTCATAAAGCGCGGGTTCTAGGTAGAAAGTTTGGTCCTACAGAGAAATCATAAAGATTCCCTTGAAGGTAAGCTAGCCACCAACTGGGAAGGCCCCTACCACGTCTACAATAAGACGAGAAGCAGAGCATACTACCTCGAACACCTAGATGGGAGACATCTACCTCGACCTTGGAACACTGGTAAGCTGAAACAATATTATAACTAGGTCCCAGACAAAAGTTAGGGCATGTCATTCGATCTGACTTCTATGACATAAACAGGTATTGCTCGACCGCAGAAGAATATTAAGGTGTGAACATTACTTCCAACGACCAATGAAGGGAAGGTTCTCGCTCATAGGACGAGTAGAACCTTAGCCCGATGGGGACACCTCTACCGAGCTCCGTTATCGTTGTACCAAAGAGGCAGAACATCTAGCTCACGATGAGACTGTTCGCACCGCAAGATTAAGATCCCAAACGCGACCTTGGCCTCGTCCCAATAGAGTCCAAATCCATATCCCCGACACATCTCAATACGTTTTCTTCCACCAATAAATAGGTCGAGCACAAATTCTCGCACTTGTATAAAATACGACAAACATAAAATTCCAAACGATATCTAACACAATTAAACATGCAAGATAAGGTTTAATAAAGTCGATCATGAAGGCCAGTATTGTTTAGAAATTACTTATAGAAGTGAGCGCAGGCCCAAACTACAACCAAATATACAAAAAATGGGCAGGGCCCCTTGTCCAAAACATTAACAAAAAGTTTGGCACATAGGCCGGTTAAATGCTCGGGCACGTAGGCCCAAAACTAAAACTAATCTTCGCGCCCATCCTCTTCATCGTCCGACTCTTCCTCGGGGTTATCACCGGGAGGAGGAAGGATAACCCCATCAACCACATGGGTGAAAAGGCCCCGTCCCTTTGGTTATAAGCTTGACCCCGACATTAACAATTTTAAGTTGCTTCACAACAATATTGAAGCCATACCCAAGGGTGTCCACCACGTCTTGCTCGAGCTGGAGAATCCCGACAATCATCTCTTTCCTAGTCTGAAAGGCCTTCTCCTCGACGATTTCCTCATTAGTAGGCGCCACGATCCCCTCCAGCTCCTTTTCCCGGGCAGCCATTTGATCATTCTCCTTGATTATGGTGTCCATCATTTTTTTTAGCTCGTTTAACTTTTTCAGGAGCCCGACTTGGATCTCATATTTCGAATGATGGTCAAGAAAATCGTTCTTTAGTTTGTGATTATGCGCCTTCAACTTGACAATTCACATATTTTCCTTTTCAAGGGAGGCCTGCGGGCTCGTCTCTGCATCATTCAGGGTCAAAGTAGTCTCAAGAAACGTCATTACAACGGCCACGTCCTGGGACATATCCTTTCTCCGAACCTCTTTGTCCGCAGAGAGAATAGCCTCCTTCTCCCCCTCGTGGAGACCTAAGGAATTGTCCCTGCTAAAAAGGTTATGGTTGAGATAACAAGGGGGCAACACAAAGGTCTCCCTGAAATTCTTGCCCTTATCTGTAGCATCCACGAAGTCGGGACCTTCCCTACGCTTCCTTTTTGTGGGCTGTTCAGGGGGAGAAACTTGGCGACCTTGGGGGAAGAGGAACCACCGTCATGGACGCTAAAATTTGGCTTGTTCCTAGATCTGGGCAGCATTCCCTTTGGGAACTTTTTGGCCAGATTTACCCCTCATCTTGAGCAGACGTTCTTCGAAAGTGGTCATTCGACCTGTAATCCAAAAAGGGAATAATTAGTCTAGGAAATAAAACAGGAAAAATATTTGTTACGGGAACACCTCCAACCTAGGAGCCTCAAAGATTCTTCGTCAGAAGAACATTCGAGTAGCACTTTCGTGTTTATCAGCCAAGAAACATAGACATACTCCCCCTCATCATCAAGAATGAAATTGTTGTCCGTGTCCACACATTTTGCGGGGGAGAAACTCTTAACATAGGCTACCAATTTATCGTAAGCAAGCTTATCCTGGATGTCTAACTCCTCTTGCTTCACCGTATAATATTCGGGATTTTGCACGAAATGTTTCCACTTCCACTCGAGGGGAAAGTTTTCCTTTAACTTAGTTACTCGCCTACTATTCTCAATCTCGACCAAACGCTCGTACAACGAGTCCACGACCACGTCAGAAAGAGGCTTCACAGCGTAGAACCTCTCGTTGAAATGTCGGACATACTCCAAGTATGGTCGAAATAACTTCCCAAACCGCTTAAACGACACCCAGGCCTGGCGTCCATTGACCATCTGCCGCTGAAGTTGGAAGATTCAAAAGAACAAGGCTAAAGTTACGCCAATCTCAAGGTATCGGCAAATGATTTGAAATGCCCACATGAACATAAGTGCATCTGGGTGGAGTTAGGAAGGCGCCGGGTTTAGCCATTGAAAAACCTGCACCTGAAAATCCATAAAAGGCAGGCGCATCCTCGCCTCCTTGAAATCAAACTCATACATAGGGAAGCGCTTGCCCGGGAAGGCTGAACAGATCCTCCTTTTCTCGTTCGACATGAGAACCAACCAGGAGGCAGGAACATCATCTTCCTTCTCCTAGATGACGTTGAACACATCAGAGGGGTCATGTACGAATTGAGACATCAGATCCCTGGGTTCGGGCGCGACCCAACCTAGGGGGTTCCTCACACCCACATTTTCCTCGCAATTAGACTCGGGCAAAGCAACTTCTTTGACTAGTTGAGCCATCTTACCTGAAAAGCAAGGGGAAATAGTGAATTAGGCATCATCAAATTGACCCTTCCACCGCAAGTCAAGTGAAAGGGAGAGGAATTCCTCGAGGGTGGGTTCTCGACTCAAGCCTTTGATGGCTCATGCGAAAGGAAGAAACTCCCCTCAGGTAAGCACAAAATCATAGACATTCTCCATGACGGAGCTGTTCGTTCGTATTTTTTGAAGTCATGGGGATGAATCATCAGGGTGGACACGTATGAAGTTCATCTGAAGATTATGAGTCTTCATTCAAAACTCATTAACTTCATTAGAAAACTCATGGATGTTCATCAAAAGTTCATAGGTTTTCATTCAGATTTCATGAACTTCGCCAAAAAACTTCATCCATTCGTCTAAACCCTAAAGTAAATTAACAAGTTTAAAAGACACTCTTGTTTGATTTCCCATTTGTCACACATCATATAGCTTATCTTAAAAACTTTATTTTAGGTAGACCAACTACTAGATCCTTTAAAGTTATCTTATTGATCAAATCAAAGTGGACATGGATCAAACACTTAGGACATATCCAGGAGTCTTGAATCTGGGTTATAAGGCATTTGGTACCAATGAACCATATCTCCTTGAAGATCGATCCAGACACTTGAGTATCCTTAGATAAAATGGTCATTATCACTAACAAGAGAGGGGACATGCATCAAAATCTTTCTATGAGGAAATGTCCAATGCAAGGGATGCATTTAATGTGCCTATTTATAATGCTAGTAAGATCCCATCAAGACTCTTTTTTTGCTTCAAGTGATAGTCGATCTAGGAATGTACACGACAAAATCCTTACCATGTAGAGCTTAGACAAGAACTTAGGGGACAACTATTATGGGTTGTCTAGAATGCCTAATACAGAATACCCATAAGTAAGTACTGAAGATAAACACGTGTAGAGCAAGTGAACTCTTAATATCAACAAGACTAATTAATTCCAAACTCTTACGCATCATACACCGTCCAGATCAATCAGATGATCTACCGCACATCACGCTGCAACTCACGCATGCAATTTTAAATTCCCCACTATATAAGAGAGAAAACACGCAATTTCTAGGTAATTAAATCCATCCCCACTTTGAATTTCTTCTTACACACTTACTGACTTAGGACTTGAAGTGCTAACCTTACAAACACACTCCCACATCACCACATCAGGAGTCCAACACAGCTACATATGAGATCTACCTAATTATTTCTCCAACATATTCGATTCCATTACAGAACAATTGTTGTTATTGTTGCTTGATAAAAAAAATTAATGATCATGTTGATTCACCATTGACTGATGAAGAGAAATGAGAATAGTATTGAAAATTTTCTACCTCTTGATTTTGTTTGTTATTGATCGATCAAGAACTTTCATGATCATGTTGATTCGCCATTGTTGCTGAAAGGTGAAAAAACTCAATATGTGTTGACGGAGAAGAAGAAAAGTATTGGAAAACTTTACATCTCTAATACCAAAATACAATGTAAATACGGTGAATGAAAATAATATTGAACTTGCTTATTTTATAGTAATGATGATTTATATATACAAAGTGTAAGTCAATCATCGATGATCGATCTATTACAGACAATGGGTTTTCTGTCAAAGACTTAAAGCTATAACATCATTCTAGTTATCTCGATGACAACAACCGTGCAGACAACATCACCAATGGTAACCCTCCCCGGATAACTGCTTTCACTAGCAAGTTTGATATAGAAAGTTTCTCCATTACTATCATCACTACACAATTGTCGTATATTAATGAGGTCAGCAGACCAAATAGCACATCCATTCTTGTTATATGTATAAAACCACTTACAATGAGGGTGTTGAAAAAATTATTCAATAGTTGAATGGTTGCAATGAGGTGTTGAAAGTGAGATAGATTAATTGGTGTTAAAAATATTCAACATTTTGAATGAGGAGAGAGTGTGTACCACATATAATACTTTGCAAAATCTTATTGGTTATTGTGATTGTTTAGATTTTTGTCTCACCTTAATTATTTGTAGTCAATTATTTTATAGTAAATCAATTTTTTATTTATTTTTATTTTCACCAAAATTCATCAAAAAAAATTTATCTATAAATAAATATTTGATTCATTTGATTTGGACACAGAAAAATTGACTTTATTAAACAAAAAACATAAAAGAAAATACGAATAGTATGAAATAAAAGTGGTGGGATAGAGTATTGAATTTTATTAAATAAAATCATTGTAATGAGTAAAAGTTGAATAAATATTAAATTATTAAGTGAAAGAGAGAATATGATATGAAACATAAAAAATAAAAAATAAGAGTGTTGAATTCATGAACGATTGTACACCGTTTAAGAAATATAGGGACATATTTCCGAACAATTTGACCTACATCTCACTTCATCACCTGAAAATAGTGCTTGTGGAGCTAATGCCACGTTGGGGACTACGACAAACATGCCATTATAGGATTTCAAACCCTTACATTCCAAACTTTCTTTCCTGATACACCCACCTAAGTGATCCTGCTGATTCCAATCAGTCACTGAATTTGGCTCAAAACCACTCAAACAAGTACAATAAAGAAGTGAGTTGTCATCACATATTGAAAATGCGCCGCAGAAAGAATAAACATCACACGTTGTTGATACGATTAAGCCCAAGGAACAGATACTACAAGGCCCAATTGTGGAAAGTGAGATGCAGAAAACTGAAGTAGCAGTGCCAAGAGCAAAGAGAGTCATTAATACTCCAAAGATTACCATAAGATCAAGAAGAATTGACATTTGATGTTGTTGGAAATCCACCAATACTCTATGATGAATTTCAACCACCACTATGATTAGTTATGAAACAAACTAAGAAAAGACAATAGAATTATTTCTGCAGAGTTTCTCTCTGCCCACAAACTGTGGAAACTTTATTAATTCACTTTGCAACTGCAAAATACTGTGAATGAGTTCAATGACTTGAATACAAAATAAGGGTTACTCCCTCTTATTTATAGATTTAGGTTAGCTTGCTCCCTAAGCTAAACCCAAGCCCAAAATATCTCTTTACTAAATCAAATCTAATCTAGATTTAAATTCAAATCTATTTAAATCTAAACAAATCAAATCTTATTTTGACACCTATGAATTACAATTTAACACACCACCTAATTCATTGTGTCTAAACTGTCTATGTTCATCATGGCCCTTAGTTTTCTGAATACTTCGACCTGCACTCCCTTCGTCATGATGTCTACAATCTGATTCTCAGTTCTGCAGTGTTCCAAATTCATCTTCCCATCTGCTACCCGCTCTCGAAGATAATGGAACCTCATTTCGATGTGCTTACTTCGACCATGTGCTATTGGGTTCTTCGCCAGATTGATAGCTGACATGCTGTCTATCTTCATGGTAATTGCTCCATGATTTTTCCCTGTTATCTCTTCGACCAAGTTCACCATCCAGGTTGCTTGGCATGCACAAAGAGAAGCAGCTATGTATTCTGCTTCGCATGATGATAATGCTACTACTGGTTCTTTTCTCGAACTCCAAGCAATTGTTGCACCACCTAGCATAAACACATATCCTGTTGTTGACTTTCGATCTTCAGCATCACTACACCAACTCGAATCAGTGTATCCCACTAGCTTGCATTCTTTTCCTTTATCAACTGCAGGAAACAGAATGCCATAATCGAAAGTTCCTTTGAGATACCTTAGTATCCTCTTCACAGCTGCTAGATGTGATACCTTTGGCTTCTGCATGAATCTACTTACCATACCTACATTGTATGCTAAGTCAGGCCTTGTATGACAAAGGTATCTCAATGATCCAATAAGTCTTCTGTATTGGGTTGGATCAACATCATCTTCATCTGCATCTTTCGACAGTTGCAGTCTTGGTTCTGCAGGTGTCGAAGTTGAGTTGCATTCTTCCATCTCAAACCTCTTGAGAATTTCCCCTGCATATCTTCTTTGATGCATCATCAAACCTCTACTGCTCTTGTGGAATTCGATACCAAGGAAATATGAAATCTCACCCAAATCAGACATTTCGAATTCCTTGCTAAGATCAACTTTGAAGTCTTCGATCTCACTCTTGCAGCTACCTGTTATCAACAAATCATCTACATAGAGACATAGTATAAGCAATTTACTCTTGCTTCTTCTTACATATACTCCATGTTCAGTTATGCACTTCTCAAATTCCTTCTCCCTTAGAAAACTATCAATTTTCTTATTCCAAGCCCTTGGAGCTTGTTTCAAACCATACAGGGCTTTATGTAGCCTGTACACCTTTCTTTCTTCGTCATGTTTCACAAACCCAACTGGTTGTTTAACATAGACTTCTTCATCTAAGGGTCCATTTAGGAATTCACACTTCACGTCCATCTGACATATGTGCCAACTGTTGATTTCTGCTAGACCAACAACTAACCTGATTGTTTCGATCCTAGCAACAGGTGCAAAAACTTCGTCGAAGTCTATTCCTTCTTTCTGTAGAAATCCTTTCGCCACAAGTCTTGCTTTGTGTCGAGTTACTTCACCTTTCGAATTCGTCTTCACTTTGTATACCCACTTGACATCAATTGCCTTCTTGCCTTGAGGCAATTTGACAAGTGACCAAGTGTTGTTGTCTTCGATAGACTTTACTTCTTCGTTCATTGCTTTCACCCACTTCGAATCCTTTAATGCTTCAGCTGCATTAACAGGTTCGACATCTGCATAGAAAGTATAATGTACCAGCTCACCTTCATCATCTATTACATCATCTGATGTAATCACACAATCTTGCAGGCATGCGTCTTGTTCTTTGAGGTCTGCTTGTACTGGGTATATCTGCTGGCTCCTCTTGTCGAACTTCTCTTTCGACTTGAGTTTCTGGCTCTTCGAATAAGATTCCCACTGAATCTTTCTTGACATTTGCAGTCCAATCCCATTCTTTAAACTCATCTATGATCACGTCCCTGCTGATCACAATCTTCTTGTTCTCTGGATCGAACAACTTGTAGCCTCCTGTCGAATGATATCCAACTAGGATCATTTGACTTGACTTGTCATCAAGTTTCTTTCTCAACTGATCTGGCACATGTCTATGTGCAATAGATCCAAATACTTTCAGATGACTTAAGCTAGGCTTCACACCAGACCAACATTCTTCTGGAGTAATTCCTTCTAGCTTTTTTGTAGGACTTCTGTTCAAAATGTATGTTGCAGTCGAAACAGCTTCACCCCAGAACTCTTTGGGTAAATTCTTGCCTTTCAACATACTTCTCACCATGTTCATGATGGTTCGATTTTTCCTTTCTGCAATTCCATTTTGCTGTGGAGTATAGGGTGGCACCACCTCATGCACAATCCCTTCTTTTTCACATAATCTGTCGAAATCTTTCGACACATATTCTCCTCCACCATCAGTTCTCAAAACTTTGAGCTTTCGACCACTTTGTCTTTCGACCATGGACTTGAACTTGATAAATAATTCGAACACTTCACTTTTCTTCTTGATCAGGTAAGTCCATAGCTTTCGACTGAAATCATCTATGAATGTAACAAAGTATTTGTTACCTCCCATCGAATCCACCTGAATTGGTCCACATACATCAGAGTATATGACTTCGAGATTAGCCTTCGATCTGCTTCCTGCATCCTTGCTGAAGCTGTTCTTGTGTTGCTTCGCCTGCACACATTCTTCACATACTTCGTTTGGAATGTCAATTTCAGGCAATCCTGAAACCATATTTCTTCTCTTCAAATCTCTGATGTCTCTGAAGTTGAGATGACCAAGTCTATAATGCCATATCCATTCATCTCTGCTAGCTGCAGTCGAAAGGCACTTGTGCTCCATCACATTTAGTTCAATCTTGAAGGTTCGATTCTGAGACATAGGAGCCTTCAAGATTACTCTCCCATTTGCATCAACAACTCTCATCAACTTATCTTCGATTGATACTTTATAATTCTTTTCGACCAACTGCCCTATACTGAGCAAATTGCTCTTCATGCCTGGTATGTATAATACATTCGAAATCACTGACTTCTTGCCATCTTTCCTCATGATCATAACATCACCAATACCTTCAGCTGCTAGGGTGTTGTCATTCGCAAATTTTACCAAATTTTTCGTTGAGGGTTTTATGTTGACGAACCAGTCTTTCCTTCCAGACATATGTGATGAACATCCTGAATCCAAGTACCATTGGTCCTTGAATCTATCTTCATCTCTTGTTGTGACCATCAGCATCATCTCTTCTTCTTCTTCATGTTTTGCCAGCTTTGCATCACTTTCTTGATTCTTTCATTTTTCTGGACAATCACTCGAATAGTGACCATACTTCTGACAGTTATAACATTGAATGTGACTCTTATCAGGTTTTCGACCACCACCTCTTCCTCTGTTTACAGCACCACCTCTTTGGTTGCCTTGGTGTGGTCTTCTTTGATTCGACACGTCTCCTTCGATTTGGTTTCCTCTGCCATTCGATTTGTTGTAGCCACCTCTACTTCTGTCGAAATACTTTCCTTTGCCTTTGGTCTCTTTTGCTGAATGTGCCTGCAAGGCTACATCACTCTTCGATTTTCCTGCAGCTCTTTCGTTCATTCTTTGTTCATGAGATTCGAGCGTCCCTTGAAGCTCTTCCTTTGTCAATTTCGACAAGTCTTTCCCTTCTTCTATCGCCACCACTATGTGGTCGAACTTCGGGGCTAAGGATCTCAGGATCTTCGAAACAACAGCTCTTGTTGTTAATGTTTCTCCACATGTTTTGATTTGATTCACTAGTTTTGTAACTCTAGTGAAGAAATCAGATATGTTTTCACTGTCTTCCATCTGAAGCAGTTCATAGGTTCTTTTGTGAGTTTGTAACCTCACTTCTTTCACCTTCTCAGCGCCTCCAAAAGACTTCTCAAGAATCTCCCAAGCTTCTTTTGCAGATTCTGAATCACTAATCTTTTCGAAGTTGTCTGGGCTGACACATTGATGAATTATAAATAATGCTTTATAACTCTGCTTCTCAGATTCTGTATATGTCTTCTTTTCTTCTTCTGAAGCGTTTTCGCCAAGCGCTTCGACTCCATCTTTTACAAGGTCCCAAAGGCCTTGACACCTTAATAGGACTTTCATCTGCTTGCACCAATTCTCATAGTTGTCAACTTTCAGAATTGGCAGCGTTGCTGGATAGTTTGCATTCCCATAACTTGTCATCGTGAATTCTTCAATCGTTCTTGATTGATACTTCCCTTGAATCGAAACACAAGCTCTTGATACCAGATGTTGGAAATCCACCAATACTCTATGATGAATTTCGACCACCACTATGATTAGTTATGAAACAAACTAAGAAAAGACAATAGAATTATTTCTGCAGAGTTTCTCTCTGCCCACAAACTGTGGAAACTTTATTAATTCACTTTGCAACTGCAAAATACTGTGAATGAGTTCAATGACTTGAATACAAAATAAGGGTTACTCCCTCTTATTTATAGATTTAGGTTAGCTTGCTCCCTAAGCTAAACCCAAGCCCAAAATATCTCTTTACTAAATCAAATCTAATCTAGATTTAAATTCAAATCTATTTAAATCTAAACAAATCAAATCTTATTTTGACACCTATGAATTACAATTTAACAGATGTAGCGTGGTCTACATGATCATTGCGTGTAGGTAGTACAACCAAATGATGCTTTTCCATATTCATCTTTTGATCATGGTAAGAGACTATGTTTTTCTCATTGCTTCTAGTGTTCAGAGAAACATGTCCATGTCAGAGGGATTTTATTCAAACAATATCTTACAATAAAATCAATAGAGTAACAAATAACAACAGACACAACAATCCATTTTAATTTTCTGCCAAAGACTTAAAGCTAGCTATCAGATATTGCTTTTAGTTATCTACAAACACTTGATTGAATCTTGGAATTGGTGGCACATTCACATCCAAAATCCCCTCAAGAATTTGAAGTACCTGACGCATCGTTGGCCTCTGAGTTTCATTTTCTTGAACACACCAAGAAGCAACTATTATCATTTGATTAACCTCTACAATCTCAGCATTTCCCTCCAACTTAGGGTCCAAAAGGGTTAGGACATTACCACCTTCGTTAACTACTTTTGCAGCCAAGGTAGGAAAGAAAATAGCTTCGCCATCGGGAGACGGATCGGAGTTCCTCCTACCTGACACAACCTCAAAAAGCATCATTCCGTAGCTGTAAACATCGGCTTTGGCTGTGATAGCAGCCCGAGATAACAATTCTGGGGCAAGATAGCCTCTTGTTCCTCTCATGGTTGTAAGGATTCTGCTGAAATCCCGTCCGATTAGCTTGGCTAGGCCAAAGTCGGAAACTTTTGGACTAAAATCAGCGTCAAGGAGAATGTTTTCCGGCTTTATATCACCATGTATGATACATTCTTCGCATTTCTCATGAAGGTAAATTAGTCCCCTTGCAATTCCAAGAGCAATTTGGTATCTCATTTTCCATCCCAACACCTCGGAATTGTTGTTTCCAAATAACTTGAAATCCAAGGAAAGATTTGGCATGTAATCATAAATCAGAAACCTTTTGGTTGTACTTTCTGAACAGAATCCACGGAGGCGAACGAGATTAACATGCTGCATTGTCCCTATTATACTCACTTTTGTTCTGAACTTCTTCTCTCCTTTGCTAACACCCTCTAGCTTCTTCACTGCTACAACACTTGAATCAGCTAAAGCTCCTTTGAAAACCGAACCAAAACCTCCTTCTCCTCCCATTTTCTCTGAGAAATTCTTTGTCGCGTTTTGCAAATCCTTGTACTCAAATTCCACCATAAAACCCTCCAAGAGTTTTCCTTTTGCAAGCATTCTCTTTCTTCGCCTAAGGATGAAAAACAATAGAAGGGATAAGAGTATCCCTATGCCAACAACCGCGCCCACAGCAGCACCAATAGTCACCCTCCCTCGGTATCTGTTTTCACTAGCATCACGAAGTTCTGATGCTGCAAGTTTGATAAATAAAGTTTCTCCACTACTATCATCAGAAGACAATTGTTGCAGATTCACAAGGTCTCCAAACCAAATTGAACACCCATTACTATCATATGTATAAGCAGTGCAGGAGCAGTTTCTCCAGCAAGTTATTTCACATTCTTCTGCATTCCCTAACCCCACAGATTGTGCATGTTTAGGTAATGCCATGTTGGTCATTGCAAGGAACGCGTAATTATCCCTATTAGAGGGATAGGAATCCTTGCATTGCAAACTTGTTCTTCTGATACACCCACTTGAGTGATCCTCCATATTCCAATCAGACACTGACTTGGGCTCAAAACCTCTCAAACAAGTACAAAGCGGCTTCGAGTTTTCAGAGCAGATCCCAAATGCACCGCAGAAAGAATAAACCGCACATTGTAGTCTTGGCTGCGACCAAAACAGGTTCCACTGATTCAAACTTTCCAACCACGTATATTGCTTGATAATGCCCGAGATATCCATCACAAGCCGAGATATAATTAAATCGCTATACATCGAGTAAGTGAAATAGGTCTCATTCTCATTCGACACAAACGAAAAATTGTATATGTAATTTAACCTCATCTCAGGAACAAGACTAAATATCTGTCCATTCCAAGCTCCACTTGTCCAATACTGTTCAGACTTATTCCAAAGAATAAGATATGAATTTGTTCCTTTTGGATCAAGTTCCAAAGAGAAAAGACCAGTCGAAGGATCCTCCCTATTCTTCCATGAAGTAAGAAACTGAGGCTTCTTTGTTTTCTTGTCCAGCTTAATTTTTCCACCCGGAAGAAACGTATCTGTCTGATGATCAAAACTCTGCCATAGAGGATCTGATGCATCACCATTAGGCCTATTTCTCAAAACAAGATTTCCACTGTCTAGAAGAATAGCTACAACAGAATCTGAGTTAGGAAAACTCGTGTTTGTTGACCAAACTTGGTTTGAATACTCATCTAATAGAACTAAATTACCAGCTGAAATTTTTAAGGTGGCAGTGCTTTTGTCAGAGACAGGATTGTCTCTGTTGGCAACCCAAACAATTGTTTGTTGGCTAACCTTTTTGTACCATATTCCTATGTAGTACTTAGAGGAATTATTACCTGGTTTGAAGAAACCTAGTTCAAATCTTCCACCTTCAGAGACTAGAGTTTGGTCAGCAGAGAGAGATTGGTTTGCAGAGATGGTGGTTAGAGCTGCAATGGAAGGAAGGTAGTGTAAAGAGAAGATGAGGTTGAGAAGAGAAAGCCAGAACCATGGTTTTGTTGTTTTGAACATGGCCATGTCTTCAATGAGCAAGTTCAATGGAGAAGTTGTAGAATAGTTGATTGCTGTGGATCAGTCAAAGAATGGAAGAATATTCAAAGTTTTTTTTTGTTGTTGTCAGAAGAATAGTCAACGCTATCGTATTGACTATTGTGACCTTATTGTCCCGAGTTGTATCGTAGTATATTACTACATCCGCTTCAAAATAAAAAGTAGTTTAAGATTATTACAATAGATTAAGAAAAATAATGATTAAATAAATAAAAGTAATATTTTTATAACATTTGTCCTTAATTATTATTAATTATTATACATTGATATAACTTGAAAAGAGTGTAGCTAATATTTATTAAAAATAAAATTGATAAAAATTAATTATTATTGTATTAAAAAAAGTAAATAACTATTAATAATAAGACAACTCTTTTGAGTTAAAAAGATCTTTTATTCTGGAACAAAAGAAATACTACATTAGAGCATATTAATTAAACTCAAGTAGATTGGTTCAGATTATAAGGAGTTGGCTCACACAAATAATTCATAGATTTATCTTCAGCGGAAGATCTTTTAATGAGTGATCTAATATCTATTTTGAAGTTAGAGCATTGTTATAGATTATATTGTTTCTTATATCACTGTTTTTATTAATTTTAAGATTATTGTGTATTAGCTCATATTATTTTTACTATTATGGATCAATAATTAGTTTATTATTAATTGGTCATAACATGGCTTGTATAGATATATATACCTTTGGATATACTTTTGGATAATATACACGGTACATATTGAATATACCAGTAACAAACTTTTTGCATTCTTCTTTCATCTTTCTTGGCTATCTCTTCCATTTCCATGACTATCTCTTCCATTTCCATGGAGTCTTTTATTGCATCCTCCTATATCAATATGGTATCAGAGCTATACAAGCTCTGGTAGCCATTGTTTCACTATCCTCCCTTTCTCTGCAACTAGCATCTCTGTTTTTTTTTTATTGCAGATCCTTATGCGAATCTTGATTTTGATTTGCGCTTTCCCTTTCTTCTTTCCTTTCTCAATCCCTTCATCAATGGCTTACCAGACCTTTGTTGGTTTCTCCACGAATGCTACGAATCCTTATTATCTTCATCCAAGTGAAAACCCTGTGATTGTCCTTGTATCTCAACTTTCTTGATGACAAGAACTACCATACTTGGGCTAGGTCAATGCATATAGCGCTGATTTCGAAGAACAAGAAAAAATTCATTGATGGATCTCTTGCAAAACCACATGTATCTGACCCTATGTATGCTCCTTGGACACGTTGCAACATTATGGTTCTTGCCTGGATTCATCGATCGATCTCTGAATCAATCGGTAAATCAATTCTTTGGATTGATAGTGCCGCTGGAGTTTGGAAGAAGCTGCAGATTCGTTTTTCGCATAGTGACATCTTCTGCATTTCAGATATTCAGGAGGAAATCTACAAACTTCGCCAAGGTACCTTAGATGTTTCTAACTACTTCACGCAATTGAAAGTTCTTTGGATGAATTTGATAATTATCGTCCGACTCTTGCGTGTTCTTGTGCAATTCCATGTTCTTGTGGCGTTGTTACATCTGCAAAGAAGTATCGTGAGCAAGACCAGGTTATTCGATTTCTGAAAGGCCTAAATGAGAAGTTTACACACTCCAAATCACAGATCATGATGATGAGTCCTTTTCCAGATATTGACAAAGCCTTTTCTCTCATTATTCAGTAAGAACGCGAGTTGAATAGTGTTGCAGCTATGTTAGCTCCTCCATCTGCTCCTATTGAAGAGCTTACTACTACTGCACTTCAAGTCAACACTCATTCAGGTAATTCTTCTGATAAACCTGGATACAATGCCTTCAAGAATAGGAATCAAGGTCAAGCTGGTTCTAAGAGTAAAAAACGTATCTGTACACATTGTGGGAGAACCAAACACACTGTGGAGACATGTTTCCTCAAACATGGCTATCCACCAGGTTTCAAACAAAAGGGCAAGATTCAGAATTCTCCACACAATGCCTCAGCCAATACTGCATCAGACTCTTCTCAACAGTCATCTCCATCTCCTTCTGGATTCACTCAAGAGCAGTATAATAGCATCCTTGCATTGATTCAATAGTCAAAGCTTAATTCTCAATCCAATTCCATCTCAACATCACCTTATGCTATGCATTCAGCCACCACCAATGGTAAGAATCCTCCCCTTTGGATACTAAATACTGGTGCCACAGACCATATCTCCTTTGACAGTTCTTTTTTTACAAATCTTAAGCATATCATTCCTTTGCATGTTAACTTGCCTGATGGTTCTCATACTACTGCATCCATGACTGGTAGTGTAGCTATATCACCCAATTTAACTCTCCACAATGTCCTATATATACCCACCTTCCATGTTAACCTAATATCCATTGCTAAACTTACTAGCCAAAATACCTGCTTTATACAATTTAGTGTTGATACATGCCATATCCTACAGAATCATTCCAAGGAAATGATTGGTACAGCTAAATTGCACAGAGGTCTCTATGTTCTTGACACTACCAGCAAGTCTTCAGCTTACACCTCTAATGTCAATAATAAATGTAATCTTTGGCACTTAAGATTAGGCCATATATCTGATGTAGGCATGAAAGTCATTTCTATAGTTTTTTCCTTTCATACCATGTAACAATAATGATACACCTTGTGACTCTTGACATCTTGGCAAGCAAAGAAAATTACCCTTTCCTAATAGCACTTCTTTTTCTTCTTCTCCTTTTGAATTACTTCATGCTTATGTATGGGGCCCTTTTTCTACAATTTCTGTTTTAGGTCAAAAGTATTTCTTAACCCTTGTTGATGATTATAGTAGGTACACTTGGGTGATATTTCTTAAAACAAAAGATCAAACCAAAAATAGCTTAATACATTTTATAGCCTATTTGGAAAACCAATTTCATACCACACTCAAATGTCTTAGAAGTGATAATGGTACTAAGTTCTTAGCTTTGTCTGACTTTCTTTTGTCAAAAGGTATCATTCACCAAAAATCTTGTGTTGAGACACCCCAACAAAATGGGGTGGTAGAAAGAAAGAATCACCATATTCTTAATGTAGCTAGATCCTTATACTTTCACTCTAACATTCCTTTAAATTTGTGGAACTTTTTTATTCAACATGCCATTCATATCATAAATAGATTACCATCTCCTCAATTAAATCTAAGTGTCCTCGTGAAATGTTGTTTTCTCAGCCTCCATCATTATTACATCTGAAAGTTTTTGGATGTTTGAGCTTTGCTACCACCTTACATGCTCATAGGACAAAGTTTGAACCTAGACCTAGGAAAGTTGTTTTCTTAGGATACAAAGATGGGACAAAAGGCTACATACTTTATGATTTGCAGAACCACAACATCTTTGTATCAAGAAATGTTATATTTTATGAAAACTTCTTTCCTTTCAAGCCAAATCTGTCTCAACAGCAAAATCCTCTTAAAACCATCAGTCCCTTGCCTATACTGAAGGATATACCTCTTGAACAAGCACCTACCAGCACCACTGATATTTCTCTCTCTTCTGGACCTAGTACTTCTGACAACTCACCTATTGACACCATTTTTCCTAATGACAGTCTTAATACAACCAGCCCTGCACTTGTCACACCTTCCCCTCTTCCTACTGCTTAAAATCAGCAGTCATGTCCTATCCAACCCAACCCTTTATCCACTAGATTCCTACCTATTGCCTCTCCTCAAACCTCTTCTAGTACTCCTAACACCGGTACAAATTCTTTTGACCAAATACCCTTAACTTCCCAACCTTCACCTCCTATCTCTAATTTTAATCCTACCTCACCTTCTCCCTCTAAATCACCTTTGCATCTCAGCCTAATGCAACCATATAATCCATTCCCTTAAGGCATTCCACCAGAAACTCCCACCCTCCCAATTACCTTAATGACTATTGTGATACGGTGGGAGAACTGACTTGAGGTTTTGCGTTGGTGTTCGCAAATGTTTCGGTTTAGCAAGAGTCGTCACCGACTTTTTATTCTATCCTAAGGAAAGGTCAAAAAGCACAGGAAAGACCTGTGAGATGTTTTCTTGGGTTCGGGGAGTAGATTATGAAAAGGGAAGGTGCAAGCACCCTTTTCATCCATGGTTATCCATGGGCTCTTAGTTACTTGTTTAGATCACTTGCTTTTGCTTTTCAATTGTTTGAAATGGTGCTTTGTGTGTGGTTTTGAAAGATGTTTTGAAAAGAGGCCATCGTTGTGGCAACCTTTGTAATGATTCTTGTTTGAATGTATACAAAGGTGTTTTGTCTTTTTGAAAAGATTTCAATGTTTGAAAGTTTGATTTGGGAAATGTTTTGAAATTGTGTTGTGAAGTGTATTTGAAAATAGCAAGGATGTTTTTTGCAAGCTTTGATCAAGTAACTAAGAGTTATCTACCTTATTTTACTCAAAGATCTTTCCTATATGTTTTTAACCCTTTTGACAGTGTTATTTCACCATTGTATTTGGTGAACAACCTTGTGTTAGGATGTTAAACGGGACAGGCCCGGGTCATTGTATAGACCATGATAGCAATTGTGTTAAGTATCTTTGGCAAATTTTTGAGGGACTTGATCATTTTTTTTAGGCAACCAAGATAGCGTCATCGAGGGACTATGATCTTTTGTTTTGTTTTGTTTTTGTTTTTGTTTTGCCAAAGTACCCAACATGCATAACATGGCCCATTTTTAAGGCAACAAGTGGATGTAACCCTAAGGGTGCAAGTGTGCATTGTGTATTGATTTTCATGCATTTTTGTCTTTGCATTAGGTCAAGCTACTTGTTGATTTTGGATTTTTGCATACAAACCCTAATCTCTAATCATGGCATAATTGAAAGCATAAAATACGAGAATTAAAAGTCTAAGCTATTACAACATGATTATGGGGATGTGGGTACAGTCTTTGAATGGGGGTGTATTTGACAAGAAATATAAACCCTATTTTACTATTACATCCAAATTGAAT